CTGATGGAGCACCCACTTGCACTTCATCACCTGCATGGTCCCCTGTCACTCCCTGACCTCTTACCTGTCCTGAAGAACTCCACTTGCCTCTGGTCTGGCTGATGGCTTACTCCCTCTTGACCTTCAGGACTCTGAACTGTTAATAGCTGAGCTTAATCACTTGACTAAGGTGGTCAGGAAGGCACCTGAATTTATATGGAGTTCACATACTTTGCATACTGCAGAAGACCAAATCCTTTTAATCAGAGTAAATCAGAGCAACGAGAGTGGGCGACATACAGGTCATGAACTTTACAGGTAGCCTAATATCACACCATCAGGACCATTGTGCTCCGAGTTCTCTTACTCATGCAGCCTTTCCCAGCAGAAAAGACACGGTACATTCGTCAGGCAAGGTGCTGGTTTGGTGCCAACAAAAATACAAACTACATGCAGTTGAGCTTCTCAGCAACAATGCCACTGAACAAACCTTTGAAATAGGCATAATTTATCCTAGCAATTATGAGCAGAAAACAAGGGGGAGGGGGTCATTCCAGACTGACTAAACTGTGGAGTAAAAGAAAAATGTGAGCTTTTGCACATGGAATCACGCCATTCGCTCAGCTTGTGTTGGTTCTAGATGTGCACTGGAAATGACAAGCTAGACACCGTGGAGGGAGGACAATGACTGATATGAGAGTGTGCCAGTCTTTGAGTCATTTTTAATGGATTTGACATTTCAGTATTTGGTTTATAGTATGGTATACTAATATTCAAAAAGAAAGCTACATACAAGTGGGAAAATCCAAGATAGTCTCATTACGCCAGGCCTGGTCCAGGCACCCATCAATCTAGTTGTCCTTGATCCTCTGACAAGAAGCACACCTGTCTGCTCCCCTCCACAGCTCTTCCTTGTGCTGCTTTGGAGAAGATAAACAGCTCTTGAAGGGCCTCTCTGGAACTGTCTCTTACTTGTTTCCAAGCCCAATGCAAGTAAGATCCCTTCACAAGCACTCTGCATATACAGGGTGGTCTGTTACACATTGCCAGAAAGGAAGACAAAAAAGGACTTAGGCTTACACGAGCCTCACAAATGCTAATTTATATGTATGGCAGCATATTTAGAAATTATTGAATGGAAATGCACTAATCTCAATGTAGTGGGAAAGCCAGTGACCTGGGTGCCGGCACATTATGCACACCAGCTGCTCACTGTGGATGGGCATCTTCTACGTGCATGCACTGCTTTCTTCCTCTGCTTTATCTTTAAACCTGACATGGACTGCAAAGATCTTCAAACAGTGAATGCTTAGGGCGCTCTTGACCAACACATGCATATACTAGAAGTTCTGAAATACTCGAGGAGGCTTGTAACAGCACAAAGAGAACTTGGCCAGTAAGTCAGGCAGATGATTTGTGAATCCCTGGCCTGGTTTTAATGGAAACAAACAATGCCAGGCCGAGGCTCTAAGGGAAGCTCCTTGGCTGAGCTCCTCAGCAAAATCGCCTGGCTTCCTGCTCATAAACAAGTCCATTTAGAAGGGTTTTGCATGACAGGGACAACAGATCCTCGAGACAGTGAAGAAATAGCCTCATGAGGCTGCTTTTAAAAATGCGGCTTTTCGCCGTTCCTTTGAAGGGAGACCTGAAGCGGCCATCCACAGCATGTGATGTGGGCCTGACATCAGCGGCTGTCAGAGTGGGGACTGCGCACACTTGGCAACATTTACTGGCCTTCCTGGGGGTCGTAGAGCGAGAAGGCATCTCTCTGGCATCAAGATGCCTTCAAGTTTGATGCCTTTAAATGGGGAAATGGCTTGTCTCGGGCTGAATCATTGATTAAACTGGAGAGGATGACACATGCGCACGCACAGGCAAAATATGGAGAAGCACGTGGCTTGATTTAAAGACAAGCCTCAAGCGGCAGCGACTCCATAACACTTGCTTTCTTTTCAAATTACCAGCAGGGCCCAAGTGAGAGAGAAAGAGATGGAAGGAAACTTTTTTGACGCGTCTCTAAGGGAAGATGCAGAGAGACAGTGAAAAAGATACTACTGCAAACCAAGAGGCAGAAGAACCAGTAAATGATAAATAAATGATAGCAATCAGAATGGAGGGTAATTAACAAGCTATTTGAAGAGGGAACAACTCTACAAACGCGTCAGTAGCAACCAGAGGTGCTTTTCATCTTCCCTGTGACCAGACAAAATGGTAACAAATTAACTGAGCAGGACCAAGTGCTGCACAAATTAATAAGCAGTGAATCTAAGCCTGGCAATTCTTCTTGTGTGACTGGCATCTTGTGATCTATGTTTTACTAATGCAAGGTGCTACCTCCCTGAAACACAGACCTAGGAAACAAAACTTGCTTGCTATTTGGTTAAAGAAGTCTATTGAGCAACTCCTTTTTGAAAATGTCAAAAAGAATAAATAAAAACGAGAATGCTACAAGCATGAATCTTGAAAGGAGAAGAGGCAATGTTCAAAAAAAAAGAAGAAGATCTGGCATTAGGATTCTATCATTAAATGCTTCATACAGATCCTCCGTCTATCTTGCATAGGGTCACGACAACAAGCCAGATGTTTATACCTGGCTGAAGCCCAATGAACAATGCTGTAAATGTCATTTCTACAACTCGTCTGTTTTTTCTCACCCCCAGTACATGCCTTTTTTCAGCCACTTAGGTAATCACATGTCAGGCTTGTGAACACTTCCAAATGTGTTCAGAATTCATAACTCAAGATGCTGGTTCACAGTGAATCATTCATCTGAGGGCTACCATGGAGGAGATGTAGGGGAAAGTAAATCAAAGGGGGGAAAGGAAGCAAAAATATAACATGGCCCCTCAAAGAGATTTACAAGCTTAGAAACAGATGAGAAATAGAGGCCTGTTCTAGTGGCATCCACTTTGGACAACAAATGGGTGAAAGACACCATACATATTCTGGACTCTACCTTGTGACCTATCCACCCTCACCTGAAGAAAAAACAAATGTGGAAAAACAAAGAATTTGTTTCTCTCCTAGCAAAGAGAGAACCATGAATGGTAGGAAATAAAGACTGATGCATCTGCCATGTTAGATTCTGCTCCGTTTCTCTTTTTTCCCAGCATTAAGTTTGTTCCATCCCATTTCTGCATTAGTTTGCAAATGTGGTTTTTTAAAACTCTGCACAAAAATTTGTATACATTTTCATATACTTTTTCTAAATGTACACATTTTTGTGCACACTCTTCAAAAATATGCATTTTGTAATCACTCATCTAATGTATACAATTTTTGCAAGTGATTTTCCTCCTCCCAATCAAGCCCGTTCCCTTTTGTGCTCTGTCTTTTAGACCATCAGCCTAATTTATGTAAGTCATTCTGAGAGCCTCTTTTGGCTGAAGAGTAGAGTCAAAATGCTGCAGATGAATACATTAAATTAAGTTAAATTAAGTAATGAAGCTTTATTTGTATTTTTGATTCACAAACTGCTGTGCAAAGTTCAGGGAAGTGCTAATATTGTCAGCTCTGGTTTGTGTGTAAGAGGAGCAAATTCGGTGAGTTTGCATTAAAATGCAAAACCAGTGAATTTCTTACTCATCCCTGGTGAGAAACTGAAAGTTTCTGAAATAAATGGTATCATTCCTAAATATTTGATACACACCTTTCCTCCTGCTTTTCTCTCAATGAGAACTTGCTCTATTCAGTGTAAGCACAAGAAGAATGGGGGATGGATGTGATCAATGCATATAAATATTTGAACATGAGAAAGCCACAGCTTCGTAGCATGCTGTTCATTCCTGCAGACAGAGGCCTAACGAGTCTCAGTAGCTGGGAAAAGTCATTGGACAAGTTTAAAATAAGTGCATTTCCTCACAGTGACAGTAATTAAAACACAGAACTTGCTCACCAGAGAGGCAGGGAGGGCTCCCTGTCACTCGATGACTCTAAATCAGGACTGGACATCTTCCTAACAGCCCAGGTGAGTCCCATATTTGCAAATTGCAGGGCACCATGCCAATATTAGTTCTCCTGGTATTAAAAGCTATGAAGCTATGAAACCAATTAATGACCAAGCAAATCCTTTTACACTGATAGGCACTTATAGGGATGGACGCTTGTAGGGATGTACAAACAGCCAATCCAACCTGTACATTGTGTATATAATTAATAGCAATATTTGGTTCCCAAAGATCTTGGGACCAGGTCTTGGGCCATGTTGGGCAAGCTTGGGTTCAGGAGCAGAGACCTACTATCTTGGGCTAGCCAATGTCAATGGGTTACAAACTGAATTCTGGAATTCTTGCAGAGAAAAGGTCAGACATAAGACATTTCTTCTTGAAGAGATTAGGCAAAATGACCCTGAAACTATGATAACCATTGTCCAGAGACCCTTGGAAACAACCCCATCAATAGCAGTCAGCAAGCACAAAGAACTCACCTTTTTCCCATACAAAACAGACATGCTCCAGTAGCAGACAGCCATAAATAACAAGCATCCACTGCTCATCATTTCTGCCCATTCTGAACACATTCCAACAATCAAAATCATACCAAGACACCTCGTCTTTCTAACCCTAACCCTACTCTGGTGTATACCCCTAAACCTAATATAGGGCGAAAGTTCCATTGAAAATAGGACGATTTTGAAAAAGCCTTCCTTGCGTGGATTTTCTGCACAGCTCATCATTTCTGGCCATTCTAAACACATCCCAACCATCAAATTCATATCAGGACACCTTTCTGGCAATTTCCATGCTACAGCTATTCTATGAATGCCCTTTGCATGTGTCGCACAACAACGGAGCATTCCCCAGCCCACCTTTTAGCAGCTACGCAAGAAAATAAATTGATTAAAGGCCAAGTGTGGTTCCTGTGCACAAGCTGAGAGTAGCAGATGACACACAAACCCCAAGGGCTTTTGCTACCATGGGGATAATGATAGGCAGCAGCCTGCAGGGACAAGGGCTTCAAGTGGAAGCCAGGAACATTCATCCTGCCTTCAGAAACGCGAAAGGACAGCCATGACGTCATACCTGTATTCCAGCGAGAATTTAGTCAGCTCCCTGTTGTCATGCAGCCATTTGAACTCCAGGGGCCAGCTGCCTTCGGCCATGCAGGTGAGGACCAGGCGGTTCCCCTCGAGGTGGACCTGTGTACGGACGGGCTCTGTCTTGAAATATGGGGAAACGTCATCTGTAAAGAAAAGGGAAAAGGGGTCAACCCCACAAGTGCACTCTTCCCTGTGTAAAAGTAAGCACAAGACCACCCATATGGGTGTCTTACCCTCTCCCCAACACAGTGAATGTTGGATGTTTCAAAGGGAAATGAATGAATAACTATAGGGAAACCCCATCCCTCTCATCCTGGAAGCTACGAAGTTTAGAGGAAGCCTGTAGTGTGCCTGTGAATATCTGGGTCATCCTATCTTAAAGGTATTACTTTCACTGAACAAAGCACAACCACCACCAGGCATTATAAATTAACCTTGTGGTTGTAGTTCTCCCAGGAGGAAAGAACCCATGTACATTTTTCTGCATCATTTTTATTGGAATATATTTGGGCCTCATGCTTTTAAGTGCTCTTGCTGCCATGGTACCTCAAGGATAATATGCATGCTAAAAGATTTTCAGAATAAGAAGTGGGGAATACAGCAGACAAATCTCATAAGGTAAATGCAGTCTAGGAGGCCAGCTATACATCACACAGGAGATCTGTGACTAGGATCTTCTGCAGGTTCTAAAAAAGTGAAGGGTAGATGTCTGTCTGTGTTTTCGAGTGTGTGTGATTTAGTTTGGTACTATAGCATTGGGAGAGGAATGTTTAACCCTTCTGTTCTGCATGTTTTCATTTTGCTTAAAATTACCTTGTCCCCAAACCTGCTATTTGCTTAGAGGGACAGAATATGTAGGATAACTGTGTGTTTGGCTTGAGGGACAAATAACAGCTCTGGGGGAATTTTAATTGGAAAACAGTATGGGGCAAAGGGTTATTCCTTTCACCACTACTGCAGTCCCAATCCAAACTGGGAGCCCCCTGCCACTTCTATTAACACTTGAAAATACACAGAGAGAAATACTCTCAGAGTGAGGAGTATTAAGTGCTGCAGGATATGTGGTTACCTGCAGAATTCAGGGACAAAGAAGCAGTGGCTGACCCAAATTTCAAACGCGAAACAGAGCAGTTTAATGAAATATACAAGTTCCTACTTTGACAGAGAACAGAAGTAAAGAGAAAATTCAGTTTTATATTGACAAAGCCAGATAATAGGTTTGGATGATATTTTAGGTCATAAAAATTCAATTTAAGCCAAACTGTACAGTGATCAACCAAGTTGTAAAAGCACACCAGAGTGGTTGCCCCTAATTGCAGTGACAAATAAAGAGTCAAACTAGAATACTGGCAGAACAGAAGAGTGATGTTTGGTTTCCATGGCAAAATGTTTAAAGCAAGATAATTAAGTTTTTGTTTAGTAAAGAAAATGCAACACTTGTTTCAAAGTATGAAATCATTCTAGATCAGAGTTATACGGAACATAATACACATAGTATACATGGGACAATAGATTGACCGTGTTCTGCCCATCTTGCTGTAACTGCTGCTTGCATTACATGAGTTGATCTGAGCTGTTGCTGCACCCATAGTAAAGCTGCTGCAACCGCCTCTATCACAACTGGGTTAGGCTAATGCCATGTAAGGTCACCTTTGTGGACATTAAGCTTATTACAATTGCAGGCCAAACATTACTTGTTAATCTAACAAGGTGAGATGGGAGAACCTAGAGGTGTTGGTAGCCAGAAGGAAATAACAAGGAAAAGACATCAGAAGAGTGGGATGAAGGGATTTGGGATGGGTGGGAGTCATCCCCAGTTTTAGGACTAGACTATCGCTTAGTCACTAGGTGACACTAGAGTTAATTGTACCTTAATTAAGAAGTTTCCTGTTGCTTATCTGAGCTTGTTGGAGGGAGACCCTGAAGATCTTGTCTAGCCCCCAGCTGATGTGACTGTGGCGCACCTGCATCAGGGGTGGGGAGGGGACGGAATTCCCTGTTGAATTATGCAAGTCTCCCATAAAAGAAAGATGAGATCAGAGCCTTGCCCACTGTAGATGCTGCAGACAAACTTGAGAAAAAGACAGGCTAGTTCGCCAATCAAACACAGGAACCTTGCTGCTTATCTCAAGTGAGTCAGGTTCTCTCCCCTACTCCTGTGTACCTTTTGAAAAACATCTATTTCTTACCAGTTTTATCCTCTGAGTTTAGAATCCAACAGCTGAAAGCGAGCCCATGCTGACATTCTCTACAGAGTTTCTGCAGCCAAAACTAAAGAAAGAGTACCATTTTGCTTTTCATAAATTTAATTTTCTGCCAGCAGAGAGGCAGACACTGCCAACAACGTAGTCCCCAGTGTTGCCACTTCCCATGGGGAGGGGAAGGGAAGTAAGAAGAGATTTCCGCTCTGCAAATTTTAATTGATCCATGTCTGTGGAAACTTAAAAACTGCATTTCCTAGCACTGAAGACAATGGAGAGTGCCAAAATCTTGAATGGGCCACACTGGCAATTCATGTGGAAGCAATAAGGCCAAATGCATCCCTGGATAAAATAAGGAGAGTCTGACAAAAGACAAGGAAGAAGCCAAGGCTACAAACTAGACCAGAAAGGCCACTGGAGAGGTGGAGCACATGATAGGCATGTCATGAACAGAGCCGGCTAGAGTCAGGGGTCAGACTAGATGGCCTGGGAGGTCCCTTCTGACTTGCTCTGTTTCTCTGTTTTCCCAAAGAGGAGGGGAGGACACATCATCCATGAATATGCAAATATATTTAAATACACAGAGGTTTTTAAATGTTTGCTCTCATTGCCTGGAAACAGTCTGTCAATTTCCGGCCTCTGTTCCTGTTATTCACCTCAGCTGTTCTTAGCTTGTGCCCATAATCCCCTGGTCATTACCCAAAACCTACATTTCCTCTAATTAAATGTTATCCAGATATTCTTTGCCCTTCTAAATGCAAACAAGTTGCATCCTTCTGGCCACCACAGTGCTTAGATGAAGCAGTAGCATCACAGAAGAAAAAGCTTCCTCTATTTTTAGGCCTGAGAATAAGCAAGACAGCCAATGACGCCCTGCTCTGTGGTTTGGGCAATCCAGTAATGGGCTGGGTGCCCTCTGTTATTTTCTCTGGTTGGCCTGACTGCACAAACCATATCGAGTTAAATGCAGTGGTCAGGAACCAGCTGACTCTCCCTGATGGCTTTATGAAGGAACTTAATGGCAATCCTTCCTGAACATGTGAACAATTGTGAGATATTCTGAATAAAAAGATGGACAACCAAGATCCTGACCTCATGTGCAAGCTATTGATGTTCAGTATTGTTTTGCCTTAATTTGCCTATTATACTTTTGATCTGCACAATAACAAATCTCTCTGGTCAGATTACAAATGGTTTAATCTTGTTCAGGGCATAACTTTACAGAATGATGGCAAAACAAAAATGAAACTCAAAGGTGCTGAGATATCCACAGATGTACCAAATCTAATTTTAGCAGAGTGGGTTTTCCCAGTCCTGCCGGGAACTTCACAGAAGTTACAAGCCCAGAAACAATTTACCATTGAGTCTGTAGATTATTGTGGGAAAGAAAAATCTGGGGTGGGAAAATAGAGATTCCATCCAATTTATGATATGTTTTTCCTGACTGATCACCTAGAGCAGGGGTCGGCAACCTTTAACACTCAAAGAGCCATTTGGACCTGTTTCCCACACAAAAGAAAACACTGGGAACTGCAAAACCCTTTTGACATCTAAAATGAAGATAACACTGCATATATCGTTTTTTTACCTTAATGCTATGTATATCTTCATTATGATTTAGCTGCAGCTCTTGTTCATTCACTAAAAACTGTTATTTTTAATCTTACATTATAAACTAGTAGGACTCCTTTCATATATTTTGAATAGGAGAACAGCTTCCTTAAGAGTCAAAGTCAGTGCTAAAGGGCTGCATGCATTAAACAGCAAACTCCATAAGTTCATCAGCAGTAAAAGCAAATGAATCTACCCACGTACCATTAAACATTCGGTTTTCTTCAGAAACTTTTCTTTTCTTTGATTTATCCATGGTTGGCCTATGAGGTGGGGGGGGCGAGGGGGAGCTCAGTAAATTGGGGGGATATGCTGTGCCTGAGATATAGGTGTGTTTCGTGACTGATTAGCAGATAAACAGTCAAGTGCTGTGAATTGCAACAGGTCCCAAGAGCAGCTTTTAACATTCAGATGGAGGAGATTACATTGGGACAAGGAGAATCTTTTCAGCAGCATTTTGTGCAACAGGAGAGCCTGCAGGAAGCTTGTTTAGCAGAGGATTTACTTAACTAGCTAGCGCTGTGTTCCTGAGTGGAGCTTCGAACAGATCAGTGGCTGTGCCGGCATGTTTTCAGCAACTGAGCCACAGCAGAAGGGTTCAAGAGCCACGTGCGGCTCCGGAGCCACGGGTTTCCGACCCCTGACCTAGAGACTATAGTTCCTCATCACAGGCAACTGGACAACCTACTGGATTAGATGTCTTAGCTGTCTTTCAAGACTAGCTAATTCCGAACCTGCTTCTATCACAAAGCAAGCCTAGGATCTTCCCCGTCACTGGCCCTTGGCTCCAGATCAATTGATGGATTTCACTCACTAGGAACAAACCGATATGCAGACCAACACCCAGTCTCCACAACCCACAGCCAAGCCATGCCCAGTGCCGGTGTGAATTGGCCCGTGTTACTTCCATTCCTCACTGGAGATGGCATTGTTTTCACTCTGCTTGTTTTATGGAGAAGGGGGCTTGAGAATAAACATATGCAAGGTGCTACTGGATTATTATTACCCATGCCAGGGGACTGAATTTGCATTTTCCAAGCAGACGCACCTGGCATTCTGGGCTGTACTGTCAGCAGTGACATAGTTCTGACCCTTCCGCGGTCCCTGCTCCCACCTGAGCCATTTAGTAACCATATCAACCAGAGCTTAAAGTCCATCTAGGATTTCTCTAAGCTGCTTTGCTTCCTTTATTCCCAGCTGGCTTCTTAGCATTAAAAAACAAAAAAACAAAACAAAACACTATGCCGGGCTTTCAAAAGAGAAGGTGGAACACGGCTGGGGAAGCCTGGAGGAGGAGGGAACAAGAAAGCAGAGCCTGCCATTTTATTTGC